TAAATAAATAGATAAATAAATAAATGAATAAACATCCTGCATAATTCCACAGATTCACCCCTGGAAACTACAAAAATAAAATAGATAAAAATAAATAAATAAATAAATAAATAAACATTCTGCAGAATTCCACAGATTCACACCCGAAAACTGTAAAATAAATAAATAAATTAATTAATTAATTAATAAACATCCTGCAGAATTCCACAGATTCACCCCTGGAAACTACAAAAATAAAATAGATAAAAATAAATAAATAAATAAACATTCTGCAGATTTCCACAGATTTACCCTGAAAACTGTAAAATAAATAAATAAATAAATAAATAAATCTGCAGGTACATATATGGCAGGAGTATTTCCATTTGCTGCTACTTTATACTCAACTAATATCATACTCTGACTCCACTACATTTATCAGAAAGCTTTACTATTATCTTTTCAGATTAAGATATTATATTACTTTGAAAAATAAGATGCATTGTTATAAAGTAAACTACATAACAGTATAGTCACATAAATATTATAATATATTCTAATAATGTATATAAACTACCCTGTGTTACAGTGGTGTTATCCAGAAGATAGCAGATACATAATAGTTGTAACTTACATTTATTATGTCAGTTTGTTATTTTACTTGTGGTCTCATATTTATTGATTTCATGCTTCAACATTTACATAGAGACCATCTTACAGTGGGATCGCTACAGCCATGATACAATTATCCACGACTTAAATCAAATGACAATCAGGTGTGTAAAGTGGGGCCTCCTCCTTACTTCCTACACCTCCTTCTTCCAGTGCCCACTCTCATGCCCAACTCTTCGAATACTATGGCTTTGTCACTGATCTTGGCATCAGAGGCCAACGAAGAGAGGTACCTTTAGTTATAGTTTGATACACACTGGGCACATCAGTTTTAGAGGCAGTGGACAGCAACCCAAGTCGTCAAATGCTGCTGCTTTGTCAGTGTACGTCGGCATCAGACACAGACGCAGGAAGGCACCTTTGTATGTCACGCATCGGTCGAAGGCAGTTTGTAAGTACGCCAGCAACTACTGTCCTAACAAGAGCACAAAGTCCACAAACACCAGGATCCTACTGTTCACTTCACATGTGCATTTTAAGCCAAACTATGATGTCTTTCATTAAACCTAACCACATGCTTTTGTTGCCTAAACTTAAGGAAGTAAACCTAAAAACGAAGTGTGTTACCAGCGTTGTAAGTTTATTTTGGAAGAGACTATATGCATTCAGCGAGGACTGTACATTTCCTGTGAGAACGTAAGTATTCTAAAAAGACAGCCCATGTAACAAGCTAAATTGACAGGTTGTCCATGAACGTCCAAAGCAGACGCAGGAGAGTACCTATTGTGTCATACTGTATGTCAAACTCTGCCTTCATTGTGATCTCATTTACACACCTGAAAAGTTTCATGAGCCAGGGGCGTAAAGTGCAAGGCTAATGGCCCCTTCTCATCTACCTACCCTACTTCTTCCTGCCCACTTGCTTGGACCACACCCATCTTTGAGCTCTACTTTCATTTTGATCTCAGCTACACACCTGCAAAGTTTTGTTACTGCATCTTGCACCGTTGCGATGTTATCACATTGACAACATGTGTCCACAGACAGACAGATGGACATAGCTTCTGTGGTCAGCCTAGTGAGTCCCGCTATTATTGATGTCACTAGGATCATATGTCGCCATGATGACACACACAGACTAACAGGCATCTCAATCTAAACAGATCAGCTGTGTTTGTCTCTGTGTGAATTAAAGGCTCAGTGACTAAAGGTCACGAGGTCACCAGATCACAGCCCGCCCTGCTTGATTGCATGTGAGCTCATCGTAGTAATGAAAGAATCAGATCTGTTGCACTGCACATGAATGGAGTGTATTTATCTCTCAGCTCCACTACAGCTCGCTCGCCGTCCGTTCGTCTGTCTGTCTGTCGCATCAGATCGGAGTTATTAGAACCCACTGGAGGAAAACGCAGGAATTCAATCTCATTTGTCACCTGCGCCCCTCAAAGCTGCTGCGGCGCAGGTAGTGAAGGCTCGTGTCTGAACAAGTGACGAGGAAGAGATGTGACACGATCAGAGACAGAGATGGAACTCATCCAAGAATGACACAACTTTTTCCTTTCATTTATCTGTTTATCTGCACCGACACCTGCTTTCATATCAGACTCAAATTAAAAAGTGAGAGCTTGATAAGAGGAACATGTCGAAACAGCGGGGAGGCTGTGACTTTAATCTCACACAGATGGAAAAGACAGAGAGAAGGGAATCACTGGAGGTGATCGAGGAAGACGAGGGGAGACATTTTATTATTTAGCGGAGGATTCAGAACACTGTGTCTCGGAGTTTTGTGACACAGAATTCTAAATTATCTTTGATTTATCGGACTTTTGAAACTTGTGTTGTGATAATACAGCTTACATCAACATGATATCAATATGTATTGTTGGTTAATACTTTATATTTCATGAATAAACTGCATAATTTACCAGTGTGCTGATGGACAGTGCAACAATGCAACATGAGTTGACTACATCGTGTTCTCAGCACATCTTTGTCAGTGGCCCGACACGTCTGAATATGACCCGCCAGATATCCTCCTGTGTCTGCTGTCGACGTTCTAGGACGTGCCATGCATTGTGTCTTCTCAAAATACACTTTCACTTTCACATGCTATGTTTAGTTTCAACTCGTTAAATGCATCGTTTCTTTCAAAACACACTTATAACTTTGGTCAAACGCTTCGTTTCGACATTTATTTCCTTGTGCAACATAAGCACGTGGTTAGGTTTGCAAAAAAAATCATCATGGTTTGGCTCAACATTCACACAGGAAGCAAACAGCAGGCTACCGAGTGAAAGTCCAGGGTTTGTTGGACCTCCCTCGCGCCTGCCCTATAGAGACTTTCCAGCTCGCTATATTACGTTGTTACCAGAGGTGTTTCAAACTGACGCAGTGGCGTATCACAATGCCACAAATGGTGCCCTTTGGCGTCCGTGTCTGACACTGATATCGCAAAAAAAGCATTAAGGTTTTCAACTTCAAATCACTGAGGTGCAGGTGCGTTCTTATACTTTTTTAAACATTTTGTGAACTGGTTTTAGTATTCAAGTTTGGTTTAAAGCGACACTTACCTTTCTGGAAATTTTACGCATAACTTTGTTTAGGTTAAAATGCTATTAATAAGCTGATGGCACACTAAAATTTAAGTGAATTCCACCAGAGATGAAAACTCATAATTGTACCATTCTCATATGGTTCTAAGAAAACTCCGACCAATCATTGCTTTCGGAATGCATTCGGAATGCAAGGATTGGCCGAGCGTCCTGTCTGTCTTCCCCACGTGGAGGCCTCCGACTGACATAACAGCTCGCTTATTATCTTCCTTGTTAGTTGCCAGTCACCAGTACTATCTAACGTTAGCGTTTACGTTCTATTATAAAACTCATCAGTCATCACTGACACCAGATAAGTTTCAAAACTCAGGGGTTGCGTTTGACTGTGCAGGACAGGTAACGTTATGTTTAGTTTGCCTCTAATGTAACATAGACTATAACATTATATATGAGACAGGGTATCCGCGGGGTCTTAAAAAGTCTAAAAAAGTCTTAAATCCAATAATTTGAATTTAAGGCCTTAAAATGTCTAAAATTCTCATAAAATCTCATAAAAGGTCTTAAATACGATTTTGAAAGGTCTTAAAAATCTATTGACGTTACTTTTATTTAAAACATGCATAAACTTCAGTCTCGCTTTTAAATGTTTGGATTTTTGAGGACGCTATAACGTAAATACAAAGCGGAACTGAAGTAGGCTACCTGTGCTGCCCGGTCAGAATTTATCGAATTTATCGATGTGAAATGGGTCTTAAATTGTATTCATTATGGTCTTAAAAAAGTCTTAAAAAGTCTTAAATTTGACTTGTTGAAACCTGCAGAGACCCTATGAGAACACAACATCCAGTTGCGGCTAATGTTAGCCTACTGTAGTGTAGCCTCTAAAACATTAACGTTATCGTCCTTGTGCGTTTCCACTTACTAGTAACGTTAACGCTACTATCTAACTTTAGCGTTTATGTTCTATTATAAAACTCATCAGTCATCACTGACTTCGGATAAGTTTCAAAACTCTGGGGTTGCGTTTGACTGTGCAGGACAGGTAACGTTATGTTTAGTTTGCTTCTAATGTAACATAGGTTGCTAATGGCTAACATTAGCCTACTATAGCG